ATACATAGTAAACTCTTTATATGTAATTGGAATGAAAGTGCCCACTTACTTATTCCTCAGAGCAGGATGTTGGTTACATTCCTCTAGTTTCCCCTGCTGCATTTGTTTATAAACCACTCCAAAGCAGCCCTCATTCACCAGGACAATCAGAAGCCAGCAGCAGCCACCAATAATCAGCAGCTGGAGATGTAGGTTTCACAATCACCCAGGGGGATCCTGGACATCAGACAGGTTGGTTGGGGAGAATAATTGCCTACATCTCTAACTTCCTGTTCATCCACAATTTTCATTCCCAATGAGAGAAAGATACAGAGATTTCAGTTATTCCTGGTATGTAGGAGGATTTCATAATGAGTCAGGCAGGAAAATAACAGATGGTGCATTCAGTGTAAATATGAAAATATCCCTGTAGCTAAAACAGAAGGCTGGCACTCCCAAAGGAGTCAAGCAAACACAGAGAAGACTCCCCAGTGTCTTTCAGCTCTTCTCATTTTTGTCTCACTTCTCAAGGCAGAGACTTTGTCTGTAGCCAATAACATCCTAAGTACTCCTACTTGATTGTCCCCAAATTGTGACTTACCCGGAGGCCCCCAGCCTCTGATTTCTGGGCTCTGTCATCTCCTTATCTGCTCACATGGGATCCTTTATGTTTCTTCTCTTTTATTTTAGCTATTTCTTTAGAGTATTAATGCTTATTCCTCCCTTCCTTCTGAACAATATGTCTGTTAGTATGATTCCAACTCCAGTGCTACAATTCTGACCATATTTCATCACTCTCATGTCTTTTTTTATGTATAATTAAGTAGTCCCCTTCTACCACCACCTTTCTTCCTTTTAGACTTCTTTTTTTTAAAAAAAATTAATAATATTCCAGATCTTTCCATTAGCTTTACTAGAATTTCCACTTCTCTTATGAAAGGCAGCTGGAAATTTTGTCAACATATAATGTACATTTGGCATACTGATTTTGATATAAAAATTACCCAAAGTAACACTGTGTTAGGGGAGAATCGTGGACTATTTTATCTTAAATCACTTGTGCACTGCTTTTTCTTTTATATAGTAGTACATTTCCTAAGGCAGTAAAAATGTGTAGCCTCCCTTATGTTGAATTTAGTGGCTCTTCAAATAAAATTATAGACTAGGAAGAGTTAGAGTTTACAGAGAAACAGAAGAAATAATATATGGAGATTATATGTATATGTATATATTAGATAACATGCTAAGAGAACAGAAAAACAAAATAAGATAAGATAATATACAACATTAGTAATTTTTAAAAGGAGATATACTTTAAGATTTAAAAACTCATAATTAAATTATTTAAAAACTTTAAACCAATATTTCAAAATTAAATTAAATTAATAATTTTCAAATAAAAACTATATTAAATTTGATTCAAGAAAAAATCTGAATAACGATAAAACTATTTAGCCTTATGAAGATATAAATAATTTCTATTTTATACAAAAGTTTTTGGAGAAGAAAAGGAAAAAATTGCCTGTCTCATTGTGTGAGGCAAAAGTAACCTTGGTTTTTAAGAATAGTGTAACTCTGACATGAACAGTAAAAGGGAGAAAAGATAAATATGTGAGGTGATGAATATATTAACTCAACTGTGGGACTCCTTTCACAATACATATGTCTATCAAATCATCACATTGTATACTTTAAATCTATTACAATTTTATTTGTCAATTATACCTCAATAAAGTCAAAAAAAAGATTTAACAGGTAAAAAAAGAACAAGAGAAAATTTTAACCAACTAAAACAAATGAAAAAATTCTAAATAATTTTTTTGCAAATTTAATTCAGCAGTGCATTTTAAAAAACGATAATGCATGATACTCAAGTGGCATATTTTCCTTAGAAATGAAAATCTGGTTCAAGAGAAAAACCTCTCAATGTCATATATCACATTAAGAAATTACAATGGTGGTTGCCAGAGACTGAAGGGATGCAAAACGGGGGGTTGTTGTTTAACAGGTTTCAGTTTTGCAAGATAAAAAACGTTCTGGAGATTGGTTGCACATAATATGAATATACTTAACACTGAACTGTACACATAGAAATGTTTAACATAATAAATCTTGAACTATGACTTTTTTACCTATCATGGTAAAAGTTCTAAAGAAAATACATAAGAACAAATATATAAATTATCTCAATAGATGCTGCAGTGGTAAAGAAAATCAATACGTATTCATTATTTAAAAAAATAAACTAACGCATCTGATATAAGAAGGAGATTTCCTATTCTAATAAGCTACATAATGGTCCCTCATAAATGTCCACATCCTAATCCCCGGAAAGCATGAGTATTACCTAATATGGCAAAAAGGACTTTGCTGATGTGATTAAGTTAAAGATGTTGAAATGAGAAGAGTAGCTTGGATTATCCAGGTGAGTCCAATATAATTACAAAGGTCCTTATAAGAGGGAGGCAGGAGGAGTCAGAGAGTAGAAAGAGATGTGTGATGTGTGATGGAGATGGAGACTGGGATAGGGATACTGTGCTTTAGATATAGAGAAAGAGATCATAAGCCAAGGAAAATAGGTGAAAAAGGCAAGAAAACAGATTCTCCCTTTAAACTCTCCAGAAGAAACCAGCACTACTAGCCTTTCATGTAGCCCTGTGAAACTGATTTTAGAATCTGGCCTCCATAACTGTAAGATAAGAAATTTGTGTTGTTTGAAGCTACTAAGTTTGTAGTAATTTGTTACAACAATAGAAGGAAACTAATTACACTTTTTTTTTTCATTTTTATGTCAACATTTAATTCTCAATATTGAACAGCATATAGTAGAGATCAAATTATTATAATTCATCGAACAGTGTTCTTACACAGAGGATACATTGATGAATATGAAACAACTCTAGAATTCATGCAGTCATAATCTCTTTGTGGATTCTGATAAATGAACCATTAAATGTATATTCTATAATATTCTTAGTACCATTACAGGGATTATTATAGAAATACAAAAGCAGGGCACATAAATAATCTTTTGGCAGGAGTTCTAAGGTGGACAGAGGTCAAGAGACCTTCCTTAATATATGTAATAACAAGTTAATTCCAAAAGATAAGGAACAGCAATACAGGGAGGACATTCTAGTTAAAGAAGATATCTGTGAAGGTTTAGTGTAAAATAGAAAGTCACCATAGCAAGTCACCATAGATATTAACATGGATACTGTAAAAAGGAAGAGGTGAGACTACAAGTAGAAGCCAAGTCATACAAATTTCTCTGTCATAATAAATGAATACAATTTGTAATAAATATAGTGAGAAATTTCTGAAAAGTATCAAATTGAAGGTGATAAAATCAGATCTTTGCTTCTTAAAGATTATTATGGTTGCAGCATGGTGGATTTTTAGAATAGGTCAAACTTTTAACAGGGAGAAATAATATGAAGGCGATAAATATTTTAAGCGTGAGGTTGTAAGTAGCCTGAAAATGGAGACATATAGGAATTATGAGAGTCTATGCTTCTCTCAGATTCCCTTGCATTCAACCATTTTTATGGACCCATCTCCTCATTTCTTTGTGCTTCTGTTCCTCAGGCTCACCTCTAAAATTTAATGCTCACACCTAAAATAAGTCTGTCAAAGAAACACAGAGAAACTAGGTTTGGAAAAAATAACTCACTCGTTTGAGAAATATCTAATCCCCATCTCTCTTCCCTCCAGGACAAATCAAAGATACCCTGTGGATTCATGCTGAAGCTGAGATTTAACATAATTACACCCTTTCTTTCTTGACCTGTCCTAGAAAGAAATTTCCCTTGCACATCTGCCATTTGAGAACACAATGAGAAGATGTCTATCTATGAACTAGGAAGAAAGTCCTCACCATACACTGAATCTCTGGTGCCCTTTTATATTTACACCCTTTCTTTCTATTTATTTGTTTGTTTTTATTTTTTCATTTTTAATTTTTTTTAAATTTATTTATTTTTTATGGTGACATTGCTTAACAAAATGCAATAAGTTTCAGCTGTACATTTTA